GGTGTGCGCCACCACCACCCGGCTGAGCTAACCCATTATTAAATACTGATGGGCAACATCTGAATTTCCTTCACTGTCTATGTAGTGATCTACATTGTCACTGCAGGTATACAAAACGGTCTCCATACATTAGATACAATTAAGCTGTGTATTTCTCCTAATCTAACACATTAAAATGATAGCTTTAAATTATATATTTCTGCCGGGCGGTGGTGGCGCACGCCTTTAATCCCAGCACTCAGGAGGCAGAGCCAGGTGGATCTCTGTGAGTTCGAGGTCAGCCTAGTCTACAGAGCGAGTTCCAGGAAAGGCACAAAGCTACACAGATAAACCCTGTCTCGAAAAACAAACAAACAAAATGCATCTTTTAAATTTATTAATTTATTATATGTGTGAGCACACCTGCATGTATGCCATGGTATACATATGGAGGTCTAAAGATAACTTATGAGTCAATTCTGTTCTTCCAACGTATGGGTCCTGGGGGACTGAACTCAGGTCATCAGGCTGGGTGGCAAGTACCTTTACCTAGTGAGCCATTTCACTGGCCCCAAATTATACTTTTTATGAGAGATCTTGAATTCATTTTTGCAGTGTTGATGCTCCCCCATACCTGTGAATTCTAGTCATGGATCTAAGCAGTTGAATTGAACACTATAATTACTGAGTGACTTAAGTTTCATAAAGAATATACTGGCAAAATGTTAATTTAAAAACACATGTGAACTAAGTATGATAGTGTACACACATAATGCCAGTATATGGGAGGCTGAGGCAGGAAAATGATGAGTTTGAGGCTAGTTTTGGGTGCAGGCTGAGATCATATCTGAAAAGTTACATATAAAATCAACAGACTGTATGAAACTACATGTTGGAAAGTTTGGTGAGTATTGTGGTACAATACAAGGCGTTGCAATAGGGAAATGTTTCCCAAAGTAACCCAGGCCTTTATTCCTCCAAGCTGATGGCATCATCTCCTGTCTTTAGCAATCCACCCAGGAAGCGGGTGGCAAAAGCTATGATACTCAAGAATCCTCAAGAAAAATCCAACACAGCATGTACATAACACACTCATTTGGATAAGCAAACCCCTCTTCCGTTAACACGGTCGCTACCCTATGTGGCAGCACTGGAAATACAGATGAAAATACAAGGGTTCTGAATTCAGAGAGCCCTGCTCTATGTAGAATGTCTGTCTGTCTGTCTGTCTGTCTCTCTCTCTCTCTCTCTCTCCCCTCTCTCCTTTCTTTCTCTCTCTCTCTCTCTCTCTCTCTCTCTCTCTCTCTCTCTCTCTCTCTCTCTCTCTCTCTCTCTCTCTCTCTCTTTTAAGATAGGGTTTCTCTGTGTAACAGCTCTGGCTGACCTGGAACTCACTCTGTAGCCCAGGCTGGCCTCAAACTCACAGAGATCCACCTACCTCTGCCTCCGAGTGCTGGGATCAAAGGCATGCGCCACCACCGCCTGGCCTGTAGAATGCCTCTTTACCATGGGAACAAGGAATCTGGCACTCATCTTTACACTTATTTCAGAATACATTAAACAAACAAACAAACAAACAAACCACCAGAAGCTGGGGATGGAACTCAGTTGGCAGAGCACTTCTTACCCAGCATCTATGAAGCCATGGGTTCCACTCCCAGCATGTCGTAAGCTGGGTATGGTGGTACACACCTATAATCCTAGCATTCTGGAGGTAGAGATGGGTTAGAAGTTCAAGGATAGCCTCTGCTGTATAATGGGTTCAAGGATACATGAGACCCTGTCTTGAAAAAAAACAAGACAAAATAAAAACTAAACAGCTGTGGTGCAAGAAAGGCCCAAGGCAGACCTAACACTACACACTGGTCTGCTTTCTGACAGGCTTGGTTCACAGTAAGTAAGTGCTCATTCTCCACACCAACCTCGTGAAGAAACGTGCTCCCAGTCAGGGGTGATGGACAGCAAAGCTAGCAGAGCCCTTTTGTGAGAGTATTGATGGAAACCAGGACATAAGGAGCTTAGTCTTTTTTTTTTTTTAAAAAAGATTTGTTTATTTATTATGTATACAATGTTCTGCCTGCATGTGTGCCTGCATGCCAGAAGAGGGTACCAGCTCTCACTAAAGATGGTTGTGAGCCACCATGTGGTTGCTGGGAATTGAACTCAGGACATCTAGAAGAGCAGCCAGTGCTCTTAACCTCTGAGCCATCTCTCCAGCCCCCGGAGCTTAGTCTTTGAGTGAATATAGGAGAAAGAAACCACTGGGATGGGAAGCTGTGACTTTGGGTCTCCTAAGAGTCAGGGCCCAGTTTTCCTGGATCCCAATGTGTTAGTCACCATGGTGTTTTGGTGGATACTATGGTGATGTACTGGTATCAGAGCTGAAGTCGAATGTTTTCATTCCCTGCACAGAGGTGTTACGTGACACTATCCCAGGGGAGATCTAACCATCTACTCACCCAAGATAGGGAGCCAACGACAGATAAAAGTATAGAGATCACAGAAGTCCAATTTGGTGGACACATGAGTTTTATTGGGGTTACTTATAGGAATATGGGTGACAGGTTACTTACAGGAGCAGAAATGACTCAAAGATAACTCAAGGACCAAAAAGCTCAACCCCCGGGCCTGGAGAAATGACTCAGTAGTAAGAGCCCTTGCTGTTCTTCCAGAAGTCCTGATTTCATTTACCAGCACCCACATCAGGCAGCTCACAACTGCCTGTAACTATAGCACCAGGGGATATGACACCTTCGTCTGGCCTCTACAGGTAGTGTACAAACCCTCATTCTGACGTACACATATAAAGTCTATCCCATCGGGGATGACAGCTTGTGAAAGCTAAGAACTGGAGTGTGCTGAATAACCTCCAGGCAGCTCAGACTGTTGAAAGTGTCTTTGCCAGGGTGTTCAGAGCTTCTTCCAGGCAGTTCAGCAGTTTGCTTTTCTCTGCTTCTTCCAGGAAGCTTGGTTGACCTCTGTTTCTTCCAGGCTTCTCAGGTGGTCTGAATCTCTCCTGGGGTTCAGTTTGTCTCAGTTTGTGAGTCTCAGCAATCTTTACTGCATATATATGTGTACATACACATATCGTACGCACACACATACATAATACATATACATAAATACACATCCTTGAGGATGGAGAGGCCTAGTGTATCTGGTCATTTTCAGGGACTTCCTGAAGCCACTGAATTGTTTACTTCATGGGATTAATGAGCCTTTCCTTCCCCTTAGAATACCCTGTTGTTCCACATCCTTTTAAAAACTTGTCTTAAAATACTATTTCCCCTTTAACATCCTGTGTTTTACCAAGCTTTCCTAGAAGATGGAAGGTTTTAATCTCACAGACACCAGCTACACACGAGAGGGCATTTTTAGTTCCAATGATAAAAACATGTCCTGATGTTTGCTATCATGACCTGATTACCAAAAAAAAAATTTTGGTTTAATAAAATGACTCTGTTTTCATTTAGGATAATTTTTTTCTTCAAAGACCTCATTTAAAATACGTATCCTATGGAAACATTAGCGAGCGTGTTGAATTAAGGAAACGACTAGGTTGCAAGTCATTCCAGTGGTATTTGGATAATATCTTTCCAGAGTTGGAGCCAATTGTACACACTGATGAAGAGGAAAAAAATCATTTATTAATAAAGGGTGAAAAAGTCCCCTAATTCTTCAACATCTTGGCACCACAGGACAAATCTGGGACACCCTGGCATTATGTGAAATGCAATGATAAATACAATCAACATGGCCAACCTCTCAGGAGTGCCTTTCTCCACCTCTGGTGACAATTCTTCCTTTGTTGCTCATCTGCCACTGAAGTTCTGGGGATAAGGACCTTGACATTAGGAATGTGAGCTCTCTCGCGGCTCAGTTGCTGGTATATGATTGACCCAGATAGAGTGTACTGGTTGTGATCATTTGGTCAGTTCACTTGGCTGTGGTGGTCCACGGGAGCCTGCTCTGCTCCTGGAGCCTTCACCGGTCTGATGGGCTGACATGATTGCCTTTGGAAAGTGTTCACAGGGAGCCATGACTGGTGTACAGTGGCTGAGTTGGGTCAAAGCTCCTTTCTTGCAGCCAGTGTATGAGTCTGGGGCTGCCTCCTTCCTGGCTTGGTTGGGTTCCCAAGAGTCTGATGTCCAAGTTACCTTGGCTTAAGTTCTCCATATGTCCTGAGCCATCTTTCTGTCCTGTTCTTTCCTGCTTCTTTGTATGTTCATGTCTGCGCCCTCTGTGCTCTGTCCTGTGAGCCACAGCTGTCAGGATGCTTCTTACATCGTGCCTTGTTGTTAAGCTCTCAGCATCTCTCAATTGTGTAGACAGGGCTGGCACAGAACAGCTGGCTCCCTACCTGCCATGCCCAGAGACTCCTTCATGCCTAAAGTACTTCTTTGGGGTTTGAGGAATGCTGTAAGGTTCACCCTGCTGAAGGTGAGTTTAAGAAGGTCAAGGAGGAGTGACTCACAAAATCTACAAAGAAAACGAGGGAAGAAACACACTGAAAGGACAAAAAAGGGGGAGATGCCTGACAGGATTACCAAATGTAGCCTATGCAAACCTAACCTATCTCAGCTTCCTCATCACCGCCATGAAGTCTCTGAGGGGTTTCTCACAGGACTGAGCATCCAGAACGTTGATTCACTGTTGTTCCATATAAGCTTCACCCACTTAGGGATAGTAGGTGAAATGGTTAATCTTCATTATTACTTTAACAGGATTTGGAGTCACCTAGGAGATACACCTCCTCTGGGGATGTCTTTGAGATTGTTTCCTGAGAGGTTTAGCTGAGTAGAGAAAACCCACAAGGAATGTGGTGGCCATAACACGTGGAGCAGGGACCGAATTAAACAAAAAAGAAAAAAAGGAGAAGAGGCACATCAGCCCCTCTCTGCCGCCTAAGAATGCAATGTTTCAAGCTGCCTTATACTTCTGCTCTCTTGGCTTACCCTCCACAATGGAGGCTGTACCCTCAGATTGTGTGCCAAAATAAGCCCTTACGTTGCTTTTGTTAGGTACCTTGTCACACAAGAAAAGTAGCACACATGGTGACGGTGCACAAATGCACTCTGTTCTGCTGCCCTTGCAAGAGAGAGCCATCCCTACAATAACCACTAGTTCCAGTTAAGATGAATCGCTGTGTGGACAAGAACGGAAACTACCAAAGATACCTTTTTGGCATTGGACAGCAACTGTTTGACTGAGGGCAATGACCATGGAAGGACATTGGTAAGGGACATTAGGACTTCAGTCTTGTAGACAGACCCAGGTAGCATAACATAGCAACCCAAACCCTGACAATACTAGTTTAGATATTTGACAGGACCACGTATGGGTTAATTTTGTGCCACTGTGACCACAACTTAAAGGGAAAAAATTTGTTTCATGGTTGCTGAGGGTTCATTGCCGGGTTGCTTGGCCACTGCATGTGGACAGATCAGGATGACAGTATGTGAGATAAGTTACTTTGTGATGGACAGGAAGCTCAAAGGAGACTTGGACCACTGGATCGGGTAAGATCCTCAAAGGGGCACCCCCCCCCCCATCATCCTTCCTCCCGCCTCCCTAAAGTTTCCAGAACCTTTGGAGACTGCACCACCAACCGCACCAAGCTCTACACATAAGACTGGGGGTGGGGGGGGGAGGGACACACACGACACTTCAAGTCACCGCAGCCAGTGAACGAAGAAGGAATGTATATCCTGGGTTAATGCTAGCTAGAACGAGTCATTGATTCAGGTTCAGGTGATGCTGCTTTCCTAGTAATAAAGCGCACAGAATTTCCTCCCTACATGTGTCGGTTCCTGTACCAGACATCACGAGCCAGGGGTTTAAAAAAAAATATTAAGGTCTTGACCTAATAGCATTTATTTCAGAGGTAATAGGATTAAAGATTTAGATATCCGTCAATGCAATGCAGTATACTGGACCAAAGACCCAAACCCTTACCATTCTGTTAGAGCTGCTGCTACATTCTCTCTAGCCGGGTTGTGTCTTCCTCACACTCTTCCCGTGAACACGCCGGCCGTCCCCTCCTCCTCCTCTACATTTCTCTGCCGAGTGACGGAGAACCTCCCTGGGAGGGAAGCGCTAAGGCTCCCAGGGACAGCTCAGCTCAGCTCGGCGCTGGTCCGGGCCCCAGCCGGGGCGGCGTGACGCCAGGCCGCGGGCTGTGACGTCATCCTCGGAGGCCGGGGCGTGCGTGCCGTGACGCGAGCCGTGGAGCCGGGCTCCGCAAGGCAGCGTGTCCTGGGCCGTGTCG